AAAATGGTGATGATGGCTTACAATAAAAAAATATTTACAAAATTCATGCATTCACACATGCATACAAATGTCAAAACATATTGTACCAAAGACAGAATAAATTATAGTTTACTGTTAGTTTCAAACAGGTAATTAACAGTAAATACTAGTCCATAACAAAAATCATTCGATTGAAAATAAAAACTCTTTACACAAATATATGAAGACACACGTGACCACATATGTGCCACTACTATTAATGACCCAAATACAAAATATTAACTATGAATGTCTCATAATGTGCCAAAACGAAAAGAAAATCAAAATAAATTGTGTCGACTCAAATTATTATCATTATTATTATTATTGTTATTATTATTTTTTTTTTTCTAATTTACAAAACAAATCATGTAGTTTGTAAAATATTTAAATACTCAGGCTACTACAAATAATATTATGTAAGACATTGGCCTGTTTCATGGTCAACAACAAAAAAAAAAAAAAAAATTAAAATTTAAAGTCGAGATGATGATGAATGATTTCGAAAACCATTTCTTTTTCACACATTGTATCAATCGAGAAAGAGAGAGAGAGAGAGAGAGAGAGAGAGAGAGAGAGAGAGAGAGAGAGAGACAGAGAGAGAAAATTAACACACACAATATTCATGTAATATTTTGCTGTCGATGTTAAAAAAAAAAAATTAAAATATTGACTATGTGTCGAGTTATCAATTTAATATAAAAAAACAATAATAATAATAAAAATTAATTCAGTTTGCTGGGGGGGAGGGGGGAAAAACATATTGATAACACAATTATTTTGTTAATTAAGTTAATCGATATATAAACAATTTGATAATGTTGTCCTTTGATAAATAAAAAAAAAAAAATTATTTAATTTCGATTTCAAGTTATCGATTATTATTATTAATAGGTATTATGTGATGTCATGTGTACCTGTTTGTGTCTGTGTGTGTGTGTGTGTGTGTGTCTGTCTGTCTGTGTCTGTTTAATAAAAGAGCCACATATAAGCAAATAAAATATATAAATTTTAGACATTTTTCCTTTTGCTAAACATATTCGAATCAAATTACAAATTATGAACAAATGTTAGAAGGAAAAATGTTTTTCTTTTAAAAAATTTTATACACGCATGAACATAATCTAATCTTTTCAATTCCACACACACACACGTTTGCATATATTTTTTTTTAATCATCCCTCTCTTTCCCTCCCTCCCCCCCTTCCCCCCGAGACATTAATCAATTTTCATTAAATTTGTTATGTTTGCACTCATGATATTCGGTCGATCACCAACCATCAAATCCACAATAAAAAAAAAATGCATGTTGAATTTTCACGTTGTCTTATTCGAAAATAATAATAATAATAATATAATGGAATCGATCGTGTAAAAAAAAATACGTTTAGATAAACTATGTGAATAATAATAATAATAATAACGGATAAATAAAAAAAAAAAAAAAAAAAACCGATACGACGCGATTTAATTCGAGAATAAAAAATTGAAAAATTGAAAAAAAAAAAAAAAAAAAAAAAGGTTAAGTTACTTAGGGCGCCGGCCATATGAAAAATCCATATGCATTTAAGATAACTAAAAGATATAATAAAGCAGACGGAAAAAAAAAAAAAAACTCACTTTTTTTAAATAATAATAATAATAATATCACTCAATTACAAGAAAAATTATTTATAATAATAATAATATTAAAACGATTAAATTCACATAAAATATTTCATGGCACGGAATGTATGTAAAACAAACAATCACACTTTTTAATTTTTTTTCCTATATTAAAAATACTCGATCGCGGCGTCCATTGGCAATGAACTAATCGAAGACACAGTCATACCATTTAACGTTTTTAATGTTTACGCGATAAAAGGGCGTATGTGACACGTTACCTTTTTTTTTCTTCGGCGATCGAAGCGACATCTAAATTTTTTTTTTATAAACTAATTAACGTTTTTTTCCCCCCCCCCTATATTGACGCGCGCTTTTACGAAATGGAAATTTTTTTGTTTTAAATTAAAAAAAAAAAAAAAAAAAAAAAAAGATGACATTAAATAAATTCGTAAACTTATGTAATTGTTAAAAACAAAAGAAATATATATATATATGTAAAAGAGAAAGAGAGAGAGAGAGAGAGAGAGAGAGAGAGAGAGAGAGAGAGAGAGAGAGAGAGAGAGAGAGAGAGAGAGAGAGAGAGAGAGAGAGAGAGAGAGAGAGAGAGAGAGAGAGAGAGAGAGAGAGAGAGAGAGAGAGAGAGAGAGGAAAACCCACTATTCGAATCGTCTACTGCCACGTCTCATATATATATATAATTACATAAACATATAATATTAACGATTTATCATGTTAATTCATTTTTTAACATAATAGATAACCATTAATTAACCTTTCATGACATTAAAACAAAAAGAGGAAATTCGCAATCGAAACAAACAAACAAGCAAACAAACAAAAAAAAAAAAATGGCGGATTTTAAAATGCAATTAAAACTCGTCGTATTTATTATGAGATTACGCAAATGCATATTAAAGTTTAAAGATCAAAAAAATTTTATTATGACTTTGAAAGGTGATCATGGCTGGCGCTTTTTTATTCCAATTACGTTAAAGCTTATTATTATTATTATTATTATTATTATTATTATTATTATTATTATTAGAAAGAAAACTTTGGGAAAAGTCAATATTATCAATACCGATTGATAATGATAATGATATGAACAATTTTCCCCATTCTATCTTAATTAAACGATCAAAAATTTTTAATTTTCCTATTCGATAATAATAGCAATGACTGTCGTCGTCGTCGTCGTAATCGTAAATTTATCGATTTAAAAAAAAAAACAAACAAACAAACAAACAAACCAACGAACAAACAAACAAACGACAAAAATTATTAATTACGATTTGACATAAATAAAATAATAACATATCCATCTATTGTTTTCCATCAAACAATAATCCATCAGCCATGTTTCTTTTTTTTTTTGATTAATTTAATAATAATAATGATGATGATGATGATGGCATAATACCACATTGTTTCATTGTACCTTTTTTTTCATTAACGAGTCAAATGTGTTAACAGGTATCAATCGTTATCAATTAACCTACAATGATTAATAATTAGCTTACCTGTACCTGTAAAATCGATTTTTTCCCTCCCCCATTTTAATATGTCGTCTGGAGAACAATCGATTCCTGAAACGAAATAATAATAAAAATAATTATATTAATAATAATGATAATGATAATAATGATAAAGCTTTTTGTCGCGAAATAAAATTTTTCTCTTAATAATACACATCATCGCAACCATATTGGAAAAATTTTCCCCATTTTCCGTTACCATAACGACAACTATCGTAAACAAATCCATAAATGACATTTAATAATAATAATAATAATGATAATAATAATAATAATCGAGTAATTTAGTCTTAGGTGTATTACTGTAAATAATTTTTTTTTTTTTTTCCTTTTGTTTTGTTTTTTGTTGTTGTTGTTGTTGTTGTTGCCATTTTCGTTTATTTATGTTTTATATATATATATATTTATATAATAATAGCGTCATAGTGTTTTATATTTTTATTTTTAATTTAAAGGGATACATGTGAGTAAGTGCGTGAAAGAGGGAGAAAGTGAATAGAAAAAAATGTATTGCACGTTAAATAAAAATGGCGAGTAAAGTGGATACCGGTGGTGGTGGTGGTGGTGGTGGTAGTAGTGGACTTTCGTTAATAACCGAAGAAAAAATTTCACCGAGGTAATAATAATAATAATAATAATAATAATAAATAGTTTTATGTATGTGTGTGTGAGAGAGAGAGAGAGAGAGAGAGAGAATATTTACTATAATTAAGTTACGCATATTAACGTGATGTCAACACAAAACACAAAAAAATTTTGCTTATGCGTGCGTGTATGTGTACGTGTGCGTGCACGTGTGTGTGTGTCAATTTACAAATTTCTTAATTATTACAATAAATAAATCTTAAATCTATTAATAATAATTTCGAATTTTTGTTTTCGTTTGAAACCATACAAATTTCATAATTTTTTTTTTCTTTATACAAAAATAAAAATTTTTCTATTAAAAATAAAATTTCAATGACGATTTATTTCTATTACGAAATATCATTATTATTATTATCATTATTATAAATAATTTATTTTGAAAAATTTATCCCTGTCGAAAAATTTTTAATGTTTTTCAATTTTTTTTTTTAATAATTTTTTTTTTTTATTTTTTTTAAGGAGACATCGTCACGGAGTTCATCGTCATAATAATAATAATAATAATAATAATAACGAAAATATAATACATCATAAAGTGAGAAGCGCCTACGGAAATAAAAAAAAAATGCATCCGTTAATGCGTAGGTACCCATAATAAAAAAAATAAAATTTTTTTTTTTTTGATGAAACAAAACAATTTTATCGATAAGAATTAATGACAACACGTGGTTGTTGTTGTCGTTTGCATTCTTATTATCGCATAATGTATTAATATTATTATTATTATTATTTATTGTATTTAAAGTAGGACCGAGTAGATTGTCTCAAGGTAAATTAATATCTATACATTCGGCATCGAAAAATAATTTAAGCGAATTCACGCAAAGGATAATGTCGGCAAAATTATTAAAAGTAAAACAAGTACAAAATCAATTGAACGAAACTCAAATACAATTAAACGAATTAATTAACGAAAATAAAGTTTTGAGAAACATGCAAAAAAGACAAGAGGGTGCATTGAAACGTTACGAAGGAAATTATGCCGAATTACCACAATTAATACGGTTTGTTAATTATTATTATTATTATCATCTAAATAAAAAGGTTATGGGAATATAAGGTTCTATCGTTTCATTGGTGTCATATTGTTTTCATTAATTAAAACAAACATAATAATTTTTTTTTTTTCTTTTTTTTTTTAATACAGAATGTATCCAAAAAAAAAAAAAAAAAAAAAAAAAAAGAAAAAAAATTCAAGACCCCGTGCGATACGATAGAACCATATAGTACCAAATGAACCTTAATTTTTATCAGGTATTCATACCTTTTGATCGTAACCACCACCATCATCATCACCATCGCTGAAATTTGAGTTTGTTGTTGTTGTTGTTGTTGTTAGGTCACATAATGAAGAAATCAGAACTCTGAAAGCATCGAATAAACAAATTAAAGCTCAATTAAGAGAATCAAATACGAAATTAAAAGAAAGAGAAAATGAATTGGAATCCCTAAGAGATAGTTATACGAAATTGAAAAAACTAAGCATGGAAAAAAATCTTTTGGAAAGGGAAAAATTACAAAAAAAAGTTGAAGATTTACAAGATGTTATTAAAGAACAAGAAGAAAAAATTCAGGTTTTCCTATATATATTTTTTTTAAAAATGTGTGACGTTTAAAAAACTAGCTACCCCCTACTGCTAACTACTCCCAAACCTAACGCTAACACTAACTACCCCCCAAATATTATTTTAAAGGTTTTATCAAGAAAAATATTACTGGAATCTAAAAATTACAGACATCAATTAAATGTTGAAATACTTAAACATAAAGAAACGCAAAAAGATTTAAATAGCGCGTTAACTGTTATAAATAAACTCGAAAGTCAATTATTTTCTAAAGATACCAAATCGGTACCAAATGGTAAAACTTTAGTCAAACGTGAAAGTAAAACTCTCGTACCTGTCGTTGCTAATAAATCCATCGATAGCCAATCGAAAACAGGTATAGTTTCCGTAAATGGTTTTATAGAACGTATGGATGATAAGAAAAAAAAATTTCAAAATGGCGATTCTCCAGATTCGGAACTTGAATTATTGGTAAATCTTTATTCCCTCTCATTATTTTTATTATTATTATTATTATTCCATTCCGTTAATTTTTGTTTGTTTGTTTGTTTGTTTGAAAAGCAAAACATTATGGAATCATCGGATGAAACGCCGAGTCCAACCCAGGATATATTTCCGGAAATGATGAAATCGAGAAAATCAAATCTGGAAAAAGAAAAAAATACGTTAGACGTGAATAACGAAACTGTTAAAAAAACCGGAAGTTTGTCCAAAATGAAAAAAAATAACGTTTTGATGAAAGGTGTTAAATATTCCGAAGTCTCAGAACCAAATGAAAAATCCAGTGAAGAAAAAATTGATAATTTCGAAGAGGAAATTGGGAAAAACGATATGTCGGATAATGGAAATAAATTAAATTTACTCTACGAAGAAGTTAAAGAAAGTGCTAGAAAATTAGAAAATGTCGTCGGTGGTAATTTAATGAAAACCGAAAGTCATGAAAAATTATTCGAAGAAAATGATATGAAAGTTTCCGAATGGGAAGGAAGACGAAGCGTTTCGAAAAGAAAATTTGACGATCAACAAAAAAAACAATCATCTTCTTTATCTCCGGTCGTCGACCGTGTTGAATTTTCAACAGAATTAACAGAATTAGAAAAACAAAATTACGAATCAATGAATAAAACGTGGAACGATTTAAAAGATAAAATACAAGAAGAAAGGAAAAAAGCAGAAGAAAAAATAAGAGAATTGAGTAAATCAAACGGTTTGCCAAACATATCGGATTCACATTCGTCGGATTCGGAACCTGAAAATTTTTCCAATCCTCCTTCCTTTTTCGACGTACCCGGTTTCAATTTAGATGATAAAAAAGAACTCAAATATGTTAATTTCACCGACAATGCATACATTCTCAAAGAATTAGAAAAAACGGATAAAGTTTTTAACAAGTTAAAAAACGATACGAAAAAATATACTCATCAAAGAGCAAATACTCCAGCCATTGGAGTAGGAGGAGTAGGAGTAGGAGAAAAAAAAAACAAAACGAATTCGAAATTAAAATCCTCGACTCCAAAACCTAAACCCAGGCAACAAGACGTTAAAACATTTCGAACTGAAAGTCGAAGGGATCCAAAATTTTTAGAAGAATTTCAAAGCGAATATCAAAAACAAAATTTAATAAAAGCATTGAAAGCCATAGACGATGAACGAGATCCAAGTTATTCGACTGAAGAATCCGCCGGTGATTCCGAACCTGATTCGAAAAATGACAAAACTTATGTTAAAAATTCATTTAAATCCTCTCACAAAGATTTAATACGTAAAAACAATGACGATTTTTTAACCGAATTATTCGGATCTAAAAAAAAATTAGGAAAAAATGAAAATATCAAATTTGAATCCCTGACCGAAATCAACGAGTAAATTTAAATAATAATTTTCTTTAAATTTTCTACATCATCATTTGTTCAAACGGTCGGAAATTCTATAAAATTTCTTTTTCTTTCTCAGGGAAATTGAAACAATTTAATACATAACGTGTACCTACAATCAAATCATCATTGTGGCAAAGATGTTATTTTTTTCTTGTTAATGGACTCGATGGGCTGTTTCTAATGATTGTTTCCAAACAATACGAATCAAAGCATCAAGTCATACACGTATGTGCCCTGTTCCATTTTTTACAAATAGACAGAAAAGTTTTCTTCTGCATCCCTAAAAGAGAACAAAATATCAATCATAATTTATTTGATCATTGTCTACATCGTGATATAATAAAAATTTTTGTAGATTCTAATAATTCAGATTACACATTATTAAATTTATAATTTATTTATAGATTTTAATTATTATTATTATTACTACTATTACCAGATTTTATTTTAATAATTAAAACTAAATTATAATTACAAAATAACTGAAAATTATGTAAATAAAACAAGATTAGATCTAAAAAAAAAAAAAAAAAATTTCTCTGTATAAATTAAGATGAAACATATATATATATATATATATATTTGCATATATACATTTTAAATTATTAAATGCAAATAAAAAAAATCTAATTATTTTTATAAATTTGAATTTTTTTTTGTAATAAAATGTCAAGTGTTAGTTACCTGATTGTTGTTGTTGTTGTTGTTGTTGTCTTTGTTGATGCAATACAACAAAGTGTGATAATGTTTGTTGAAATTAACTGCTGTTGAAATATGAATGATATAAAAATATGAAGTTGGTTGAAAAAGTTTTTATAATTCAATCAAGCATGAGTGCTAAAAGCAAATGAAGATTTTATTAAATGTTATAATATAAAATAATAAAAACATGTTGATTGTACTACTACCATACCTAATGAAAATAAAATAGAAATTCAAATTTTTATTTAATATCTTATTATCCTACACAAATTATTTGTTCCATTCTCACCTGGCAACTTGGCAATTATCAATCCTATAAACCAATTATTAAAAATAATTTAACTTATTTTTATACTCGATTACAATTATTTTTTAACAAGTAATAAATCAAATTATTTCTATAATAAAACTTTATTTCAAGTTCAATAAATTTATTTCTACCAAAAAAAAAAAAAATTAAATTGAAATCCTAATGGCCGTTATTTTTAAAATGGCGGGAGAAGCGTTAAGTAATTGATTTCATAATTGAAGAGTTGATAATATTAATACATAAAACATTACCTTGGTTGGATTGAAAATTATTTAATGTTTTGTTTTAAAAATAATAATTTAAAAAAAAAACCAAAAACGAGATGTAAAATTTTTAAGAAATAATTAAAAAAACTGAACTTTACCTTTCTGTACGACATTTGGTAGATTGCCTCCGAATCGACTCTTATTAATTTCAGTACTGCCAACCTTATTAAGGTGAAAATTTATCGGTGCAAGTAGTTTTACAAAATAATAATAATTTTTTTTTTTTTTTTTTTGACTTTTACCTTACAATTTTTTTTAACTACATCGCTTGATGTCAACTTTAGATGTAGATAAATTATAAACAGGGTAATTTTACGTAATTTTTATACAATTATTATTATTACTTACCATTATTTCTTATTTTTCTTTTAAGGAAAAAATATTTATCACTGGTAACTTAACGGGTTACTGATAATTGTTTTAAAAGTTGAACTAGTATAATTTGTAAAATTTTCAATGAAAATTTTATCGTTCGTGAATTTATTTACGACGGGTAATATTGTAAAGACAAAGTGAAATGAGTACATTAGTTAAATAAATAAAAAAATTTTGCGTATACGATTGACCATTTAAACAAAGGGAAAAATTAATTGATTTTTATTTTGTCAGGAACAAAATGGTACGAGTTATATCCGTTTATAATTTTTTAAAACAAGAAATATCATCGATTGATGAGTCCGTGGATGTAGCCGAAGTTCCTCCAGATATTTTATTATTGGCACAGCCAAATAATACTATTTTAGTTAAAGATTTATCGCAAATAAAGGATCCTGGTTATACAATACCCACAGTCGATCAAGTTGTTAAAATTGTTTATTCAGTGAATGGTAAATGAAAAAATATTTTATATGAAATTAATTTTTAATAATTCATTTCAATAATGAATGACCTTTTAATTATAGGAAACTATATAGCAGCATTGGAAACTAAAACTACAAGAAGTGGCACCAAAGTTTCTCATGCTAGAGTTTACATCAATTGGGAATCGATGAAAGATTGTAAAGATTTATTTCCTATGAGAGCGAGAATTGCTGAAAGAGTTACACCGTTAAGCCAAAGTCAAAATGGACTGGAAATGGTCGAAATTCCAAATCAGTACATGCCAGAATATATTTCATGCTGTCCAGTAAGTTAATTTTTTAATATTATAATAAATAGTACAAGACAAATATTCCTTTTTTGCGGTTATTTATGTATATTTTATTTCAGGTTTCAGGGAATTTACTTGTATCAAGTAGAAATGTATTGAGTATATATTTATTTATTACTCAAACTCATGATATATCTAAAATTCATTTTATCGATTTTAAACAGTTAAATTTCGATTTACACATATCATTTACACCAAAAAAGCATCAGATAATCGAAGATATGATCGCCGTGCAAAATGATGAATTTTTACACATTTTTAGAATTAAATCAGCAGTGCCATTATGTAGTTTGTCCGATAAGGAATTCAGCATAGATGAATTCGGTTAGTTTTAATACATTTTTTTAATACCACAATCGTTTTTTTTATCGTGAGATTAATGATTCGTTGTTTTTAGAAAAGCCAAAGCCTTCAGTTCAAAAAACAAATTCTAGTCCATACAAAACGATTAATTATAAAAAATTATTAAATGAAGTTGATAAATTAAATTTTCCCCTTCCCATTGATAATGAAGAAGAATTGCAAAAAAAAATAAGCGAATGTTTCAATTTGGAAGAAACTGAAATTTTGAAAATTGACATGAAAGGTTTACCCCTCAAGCATGAATTTCCGAGTATAGCATTGGAAAAAACACTTTTTCAATTTAGAGGATCAGATGTATTTCGTCAAAATCCTTTTACAGCTACCAAAGATTTATTTGTTAATTTTGTTACAAATTCAACATCGCCAACTTCGAATGTATGTATTAATTTACCTCTTTCAAAGAGAAAATTTTTTGATTGATTTGAATTAATTTTAATTCTTCAGAATGCTAAAAATGAATTCAAAGCGATTAATTTATGCCAATATCATTTAATTCCTTTGACATTGGGTAACATTCCTAATCGAGAAGTAATTGAAAAATTCACTTTTTTAATTCTCAAACCATATTATTCACATGAAAGAAAACTGAAAAAGTATAAAAATGATCTTTTGGAAAGTGAGTATTATCCAAACTTAAAGTCAATCGCTTGCTTCTTCGGTACACAACAAGAAGGATATTTACAATGTTTCGAATATAACAATAAAGATGATGATGTAAGTCATGAGTTTTCAATTTCAAATTCTGCTTTTGGAGAAAAATCAAACCCATTTAAATTAAAATTTATTTATAGGATACAGTAACCTGTGGAAATTATTTCACATATGCTTTTACAGCTCCAATCATTGATGTCAAGTTGGAAGATTGTTTTTTACATGCAATCACAGAAATCGGTTTGGAAACGTACACGTTAAGAGCAGCTAAACATTTATATAAAAAAAATGAAAACGTGGTAAAAGAAAAAAAATTTTAAAATAGATGAGAGTAAAAATTCTTAAATTAAAATTAAAAACGAATTTAATCACAGGATTGTCCATCTTTAACCGATCCGGTTTGCTTGATTGGACTTCATCCTTTTGTTAATTTATTTCAAAGTTGTCTGACAAATAATTATTTAACACTTTTTGCCAACAATGAAGAATCATCGAGTACTCTTTACCAATTGAAATTACCGGATATTATGACCGTTTGGAACGATTTTCTAACATCCGCCGAAGAAAATAAATGGGAATCTCCTTTAACGTACAGCGAACTAGTAATAATAATAATAATTATCTCGTGTAAAATCCATTTGGGTAACGTAACAAATAGGGAAAATAGTAACGGTTGTAATTTTTCAGTTGGGAGAAGGACATTTAATATTAAAAACAAAATTAAATACGTTCGAATGGTCGTGGGAAAAAGATGCGAATAAAAATTCACTTTGTTATGCAAAACCAACGACTCCCAATTCAAACGACAATGTTAAATCATTATATAAAGAATCTTGTGCCTTATTCGGAGATTATCACATTTTGTAAGAAATTTATTAAATTAATTATTTGTGTTCACTTATCCTCCTAACATGAAGCATAAATTTATTAAAATTTTTCCAGGAATAAAAATTATCAATCATGTTATTGTTACTACTCGATGAGCGAGTATAAAATACTCGACATAATAAAAAGGATAAAAAATTTGAAAAATAACGTACCCGGGAAATATAGGGATGATTACGAGGAAGGAGACATAACGAAAGGATTGATATATTTTTTGAAAAAAAAATTATCTCATTACGATTTGAAATATTACGAATTTTCCGGGAGCAATAGAGAAGAATTTTACAATTCGGAAATAGGAAACCTGGTAACGAGTTTAATGGATTTACTCGAAACGGTTGAAAAAGAATCAATTTCTGATTTGGTTTTGGATTCTGTCGTCCTAAGAGAATTCAGCACGGATAGAATATTGAAAATATTAAAAAGTTTATTGAGTAAAAAGTAAGATTGAATTTATTACAAATGTAATTCGTCCATTTTTATTAAATAAAACGTTTGAATTTCAGTTCGGTACCTTTTGATAAGGATGCTTTATCACTTGCTTTGATGTGCATACAAAGGGATCAATGCGAACAAGCTAAAACGGTTTTGTTGACAATGTCGGCGAAACAACTCGAAAATTTACTCATACAATATTATGACTTATTATTTTCGAATCACGGTTCGACAGGTTTGAACATGTTCACAGAACTTTCCATGATACTCATAGAAATACATCCGAAAGTGTTGGCATCCGTTTTGTCACAGTTGGTGACGGAAAAAAGACTTTTAAGCTTGTCAAAAGTATTGAAAATATTTTTAGATATCGTACCGACAGGGTGGGAATGATATTTTTCTCTTTGTATTTTTTTTTTTTTTTTTCTGGAAAAAAGAAAACTGTTTTAACTCGCACGGATTTTCATTTTTTCAGATGTCGGAAAAATTCATCGTTCGTTTTACAAAACGTGCTCGAAAAATATTTTAAATACCACGCGGAAAATTTTGAAAAATTTAATTATAAAACGACGGAAGCGTTGAAAATATTGATAAGGATATATTTGATGCAATTGCAAGGATGGGAAGAAGAAGGGGATCGGGAAGAGGATGATGAAAAATGTTCCGAGGTTTTATTTCAAAAACATCGTCCGAATTATTTGAATGAGGTACCGCCATTTTCACCCGAATTGAAAGATGTGTTTACGAAAACGTCGTCGTCGACCGAAGAAAAAAGGGAAGAAAAAAATAAAAAGGGGAAAATGATTTTGTACAAATTACAGGTCTTTGGAAAATTTTTTTTAACTCTATTGCAGCTCACATTTGTGAGGAAAAGTTGGAATTTTCCATTTTTCCTTTTTTTCCATTTTTTTGTTTCAGTGCATTATTTGTTATGAAAATTTACCGGATGAATGTTTGGCAGAAGTTCGAAATTTTTTAATCAATAATCAAAAGAAAAAGGAAAAAAACGTGTACGGAGAATTAAGTTTGAAAATTTTGTCAGCCGTGTCAGTAGAAGAAGCCGTTGATCTATTAATCGATTATGCACCACGTCCGTTATTTAAATTTTCGAAGGTGATCGGGGGGGAAAAGGAGGGGAGAGGAGGGAATTTTTTTTTAAAATGGAGTAATTAATTTTTTATTTTTGTTTTGTCAGGAGCGAATTAAAGACAAAGAAAAATGGAAATATTTAATTGTTAGACTATTGGAAAAAATTGACGATTGTAAAAATGACGAACGTATGAAATTTTTCATTCAACAAATTCTTTCCGGTATGTGGAGAGCGGGGGCAAGAGCGGGGAAATGAAGTTTTCTTTTTTTTTCTTCTTAACCTTTTTTGGTTTTATTTTTTTTTAAACAGAAATATTACATCACGTGGTGGAAAATTTAAACATAGAAGAAGTCGTAGAAATAATACCGAAAGATTACGAGGAAGCGGAAAAATATTTTTCACTCGCTCAAAACAACGCGCAAGCAAATCATTTGAAAACTTTAATCATGTTGACGGGAAAACAACTTTTGGCATCGTTATGAAAAAAAAATAAATAAATAAATGAAACAAAAATATTATTATTATTATTATTCAAAGGAAAAAAAAAAAAAAGGAAAGCTTCGCTCTGAAGAAAACTTTTAAGCTTTTAAGCGTTCAAAAAAAAAAAAAAAAAAAAAAAATTAATTAATGTTTATAAACGTGCGCGGTTTTTTTTTCTTTTTTTTTTTTTCCTCCTCGCTTTTAAAGCTAAAATGCTTAATAATGAAAAGCTTTAGTAAAATTTTTGAAAAACGAAAAGTGCACAGGGAGATTCAATAAAACAAAAAACAAAAAACAAAAACAAAAACAAAACAAAAGCAAAACAAAAACAAAACTAAAAACAAAACAAAAAACAAAAACTTTTTTTAAAGGGACCCTAAGAAAACAAAAAAAAAAAATTTATAATATTTGTAATGAAAAGTTAGTATTATTATTATTATTATTATTGATACGATACCCGCTTTAAATTATTTATGCTTATTTGCCTTATATAAAATATATATTAATTGTTCTTTATATTAAAAATAAACAAAAAATAATAATAATAATGGTGCTTTCATCAAATATTGTTTTTAATAATTTATAAAAGTTAAAAAAAAAAATTATTAATTAATTAATTATTTATTTATTTATTATTGTTTTATAATTTTAACAACAACAACAACAACTATTTATTGTTATTTATATTTAAAATCCATGTTTTTTATTTATATTAAAATCGTTCTTATTATTTATTTAATTATTTATTTATTTTTATTAAATAAAAATTAAAAAAATTTAAATTTTTCGACACGTACTTAATTAAAATTGTTTTTGATCAAATTTTTAAATTAAGGAAAAAAAAATATATAAATATAAATATTATTATTAATATCATCATTAGTATTATTATTATCATTGATATTATTATTATTATTATCATTATTATTATCAGAATAATGCGTTATCATTGTTAAATCCAAAAAAAAAAAAATATTTTGACAAATTTATTCGTTTTTTTTTTGGGTTGTAACAACAATTTCAACAATTCTTTAAATATTTAGTGGTGATGATGATGATGATGATGATGATGATGATGATGATGATGATGATGATGATGATGATAACACAAAATTAACAAAAATTATTTATCAATTCATAATTCTTTTCTACTTTCATTTTTATTAAAGTGGCGGCGACTCTTCCTGTTTTTTTATTTATTCGATTGTATGTGAAAGCATAAAAATATTTTTTTTTTTTATGAGATGATAACGACACGCGAGATCGACTCCCTCCCCCCTTCCCCCCCATTTAATAATTTTATTAAAAATTATTCATTTAACGCTCGCCATAACTTTTCCCCCTCCCTCCCTCCCCTCTTCCCCTACCATTCTTTTCTCCATATGTTTTTTAATTGTAAATAATATGGAAAATATTATATGTACAATCGTGACAAATTAACACGAATGATTTTGATAAAAATAAAAAAGAGAAATTCAAAAGAAAAAAATAAAATAAATAAATTGATGAAAATACAAAGCAGAGTCGCCACTGTGAATCCGTTTGAAAACAGGTATGGCGGGAAGGGGGGGAGGGAGTGGGAGGGGATAGGAGAAGAAGTTCAGTAATGTAATTTTTTTTTTTTCTTTTCTTATGTTTTCATCAAGTCCATCAGTCAGTCAGTCAGTGAGATTGATATTATTCAGGTTATTGTGATTATTATTATTATTATCATCATCATTATTATTATTGTTGTTATTATTATTATTATTATTAATGAAAATCATTAAAAACATATTAATTAATTTGTTTACGGTCGGAGAAGCAGAATGAATGTTAAAACTCAAGTAAGTTAAGATTTTTGTCGCCATTTTTTTAACCGCCAAATTTTATTACATTTTTACATTCGTTCCACTTCAATTGGTATTCATTTTTCCGTTGCCCGCGTTCGATTTCATTAATCGTGACTTTCACTTATTTTATTTAATTAAGTTTATCGTTATATATATATATAAATTTGTAAGTCATGAATCATTTTTAACGTTTTTTAATTTCGTACGGTTTAATTTACGACGATTCATTCCGGAAATTTATAAAAAATTATCTATGACAAGGTGAGACATGATATTTGTCTGATTCGAAACACAGGTACGTCTGTCCTTTTACAAAATTTTTCATTTGTAAAGAAGAAAAAAGGGAAGAAAAATCAAAAGATGAGTAACTTTTTAAACAATTAATTAATAACATTAAAAAACATTTTTAAAAATTGTTAATTAACTAAATGTGTTATTTTTAATTTTTTAGGCATTTATGTTGCAATACATTTCCTAAAGGTATTACTATTATTATTATTATTATTAACGTTCTTTTGTTAATGTATTTGGAGTAGTAAAATTTTCCATATATTTATATTACTTGTGTAAAATGTTGAGTTACATTTTATCATGTCACACAAACAAACACAAACACACACACACACACACACACAAACATCTAACAAACACCTTTTGTGTGTGTGTTTGTATGTGTGTTTGAGTTTGTGTATGTATGTGTGTTTGAGTGTCTGGGTTTGTATGTGCGTTTAAGTATGTGTGTATGTGTGTGTGTGTGTGTGTTTGTATGTGTGTTTGAGTTTGTGTTTGTATGTGTGTTTGAGTGTCTGGGTTTGTATGTGTGTTTAAGTATGTGTGTATGTGTGTGTATGTGTGTGTGTGTGCTTGTGTGTGTGTGTGTTTGTATGTGTGTGTGTGTGTGTGTGAGTTTGTATGTGTGTTTGAGTGTGTGTGTGTGTCTGTTTGTGTGTGTGTTTGAGTGTGTGTGTGTCTGTTTGTGTGTGTGTTTGAGTGTGGGTTAGTGAGTGTGTTTGTGTGTGGGTTAGTGAGTGTGTTTGTGTGTGTGTGTTTGAGTGTTTGTATGTGTGTGTGTGTGTGAGTGAGTGAGTGTGTGTGTGTGTGTGTGTTTGTATGTGTATGTGTTTGTATGTGAGTTTGTATGTGTGCTTGAGTGTGTGTGTGTGTGTGTTTGTATGTGTATTTGAGTGTGTGTGTGTGTCTGTATGTGTGTGAGTGTGTGAGTGTGTTTGTATGTGTGTTTGTAGTGTGTGTGTGTCTGTTTGTGTGTGTGTTTGAGTGTGTGTGTGTGTGTCTGTTTGTGTGTGGGTTAGTGAGTGTGTTTGTATGTGAGTTTGTATGTGTGCTTGAGTGTGTGTGTGTGTTTGTATGTGTATTTGAGTGTGTGTGTGTGTGTGTGTGTGTGTGTTTGTGTGTGGGTTAGTGAGTGTGTTTGTGTGTGAGTTTGTATGTGTGTTTGAGTGTGTGTGTGTCTGTTTGTGTGTGGGTTTGTATGTGTGTGTGTGTGTGTGTGTGTTTGTGTAAAAGTTGTTTGGTTACATGTTATGTGACAAGTCAAAATTTAACCAGACAATGATTCATATAATTGAGCTACCACTAAAATGATAAAATTTATTTATTTATTTTTTGGCATTTTACCATTAAAATTTACATAATGTTTCAATTGTAATGAATTTTCACTTTTTTTTTTTTAAAAAACCTTTGATCTTTAGAGTGAAATTATTAAATTTCATTTTTAATTTTTTTGAATAATAATGATAATGATAAATTATGTTTTTATTTTTTAGTGTAATGAAACACAAAAGGGAAAATAAGAAAGAAAAATTTTAATTTTACTTCTTAAGCAATAATATTATTATTATTAATAAGAACATAAAATCAATTAGAAATTATAATCATCTTGTGTTCAAACCTTTTGTTTAAGGATTTAACAAAAAAAAAAAAAAAAAACTTGGTATTTAAATAATAATAATAATAATACAATTTCACTGTATCAATGTAATGTAACAAAATGAGGGAGGGAGGGAGGGGAGAGGGGAGGGGAAAAAAATTATTTTCCTCATGCTGTCATGCTTGCAATTATTAAATATGATTTCATTCATGCATTTAGTTAGTTAAAACAACTTTTATTTTTTGTTTGTGGGTTAACAAACCTTAAATAATAAAATTTACATTTTTTTTTTTTTTAATATGATTTTTTTTTCTACCTGTTTTATTTTAGGCCATTCTATCATTTTTTCATTGAATTCAACAAACGACCATTGTTTATTTAAAAAAAGGAAATTTTTCATTATTAAATTGTGCTACAAGATCAAATCAAAATTATTATTATCATTATCAAAAGAAAAAAAAAAACGGAGGAGAATGAAAAATAATGTAAATAATAGGTTAATAATTAAATAAATTTCACGTATTTTTTTTTTTTTGAAAATTATTAAAAACATGCCAACGAATTTATTAATAGTCATATGGTTAAAAAAAAATTTTGCAATTTTTATTACAAAAAAAAAAAAGAAAATGGAAATCGATTTTATTTTATGGTTGTCGATTATGTTTTTTATTTATTTAAATTAATTTTGAAATAATTTAATAAACACACACACACAGCGTTAAGAATTTTATTCGATAATAATAATAATAATTAAAAACGTTAAATATTTTTTGGAAAATTAATTGATTGAAAAATATAATAAATGATTTAAAAATCAAAAATGGTCTACCTTGTATACCTGGGGAGGGGGCCAAATTTAATTGTTTAAATAATAAGATAAAATTCTTTTTGTTAAAAAACGTCATTACTCATGTGAAATGAAAGGAAATGACGTCACGATTTCTTTTATTAAGACGTTTTCATAAAAAAAATTTTTTCATAACTTTTTTATTTCAATAATAATTATAACGAAATCAACAAAAACTTGTCATGTGTTATGTACATTATTTTATTTAATATTAAATATTTTTCATGGAATGTTATCAAGTGTAAAAAAAAGTTCTTATTTACTTGTATTTATGTACCTGGTTTTTTTTTTTTTTTTTTTTTTACTTATTTAATTTATTAAACTTATTAAAAAAAATGCGGAAAATAAATAAGTTTTTAGTTTGAATTTATTTGGTATTTAAAAAAAAAAAGATGATGTTCAGACATTTGGAACCCAGTTATTGAAATTTTTTTAAAAAAAAAAAAAATTAAATGTCAGTGTTTTGTTACGTGACACTCGCAACATTTTTAATTTTAATTTTTTTTTTTTTTACAAATGTATATACGCACGCCATTAATTGTACGTAGAAAGTAGTTGGAAAATTTTTTTAATAAATAATTAACGAAACGTTTAAATTATAATAATTTATGTTTTTAAATTGTTTATTATTATTATTGTGTTTTAGATTTATACCATTACGGTACTTTTGTTCCTACCGATATTGGCGGCGAATCCGCCTAATTGTACTCAATATGGCGTCTGTACTCAATTTGTGCCAGCACCGCCAGGGCAAATACCAAATTGTGCCATACACGAAGGTTCGACATATTGCGAACAGTTAGATTATTATCCGAGGTTAGTGTGTTTCGAAATTTATCCAAAATGTATACGTATGTAAATACGTGAATGGTTTTTTCCTATTTTTTTTTTAGGCAGCTCATCATGTACCTGATACAAAAATGGGGATACGATTTTAATACATTGCTTAACAATGAATCAACCGATGAATTTGTCTACAGGTATTAGCAACCGATTTCTACGTGGTAAACTCTTAAACGACACTTCGACTCGTTTCAACTTTATGTAACATAAGTAATAATATCATGATTTAAGCTATAATTTATTATATGGTAGAATCTCTTTTGGTTGACTTCATTTTTTTTTTTTTTTAAGAGGAAAAAAAATAATGATGATGATGATGATAATTAAGTTATGTAACATTGATTTAAAAGTGGGTTTTCTTAAGAAAAAAAAAAATTTTGAGAGAGAGAGAGAGAGAGAGAGAGTGCGACGACATTAAACAAAAAAATTTTTTTATTATAAATAGTCAAAATAATAGAAATTCCGCCATATTTAAATTAAATAAGTTTTCAAAAGTAGAACTTTCCTTTTATGGATAAGTTGTTGTTGTTGTTGTTGTTAATGGACGCCAACGATTTAAATAATTGTGATTAACATAATAATAATAATTTTTCGTTTTTTATTTATTAGGAGGCAACAAGAATTTTATGGTCCACCATCTTATCGTCCACCACCACCACCACAATATTATTACAACAGGGGATCCCCACCAATAATTCAACCATCGATATCATATGGTCCATTGTCTTTTAATACATCACACACGAGCCATGTAAGTTATAATAAAAATAAAAGGAGGAAGGAAAACAAAAAAAATAAGTAAATAAATAAATTGGAATCCAACTTTGTGAACTTTCTAAGAGAAAAACGAGTTTATTGACTGACGATCACGATTTTTTTACAGCCTAAAACATTTAAATTTCGCGATTGCGAACCGTTATTAAAATTTTACAAAAAATATATTTTATTTTAGAAAGGTTATCCCGATAGAACATATAAAATCGATCCTCATTTATTAACAAATGCCCTTCAACAACCACCAGGATATTATTCAGAAGGTCATTTTATCAACAATCAACAACCGGAACAAGGGTTTTTATATTCACCTCCACCGCCTTCTTTACATCAATCACAACATCGTTCGGTACAATGGTGGAAAAGGTAAATAAATAAATAAATAAATTTTAATTCAATAAACGAATTTGTTTTGTTTTTTGGCCCGGCATTAAAATTTAAAAAAAAAAACTGGAGACCTTTAAAATCAATCAAACTATTATTATTATTATTATTACGTTAAAAATAGTTTTTTTTTTTTTTTTTTTTTTTTTTTCATTTTGTAAATTTGGCAATCATATTATCATTTTGTCAAACTCGTAAGTTTTATAATTGTGTAACTTGATGAAAATCAAGTTTCAAACTCATCGTTAACATTTACATTTCTTTTTTTTTATAAACATTTGTTATTAACTTTTCTTTTTACACTTGACCTAAATCCTTAATTTTATTTCTGTTACACTTAATTTAATTGTTTTTCTTTTTTCCTTTTCAACGATTTTCCTTTTTTCTTTTACCATTAATTTTCTTTTAAACACATTTACCTTAATAAAACGTGTCGTTAGACAATATAAACAGACATATTAAAAATATGTGTACATGTGAATTCATTTTGAAAACATTACGTTGCAGTTTTTAAATAAATAAATAATAATAATAATAATTGACATTATTTTCAGGTATAAAAGATCAAAGGATTCGCAGACGAGAAAAAAAAGGCAAAATACTCCGGATGGTGTCACTCAATTATGTCCGACATCGACTAATTTTATTATGCCAAAAGCTGCACTCAACACGAGGGGAAGTTGGATGTATACGGTTAATTTGAAAGAAATCGATGATAAATACACACAATTGGTACGAAGTGAAACATGCGTGTACGTATTCAACCAATCAATCGATCAATCAATCGATCGATCGATCGATCGATTCACCAAATACGTTTAATTAATTATTTTTTTATTTAATTTTTCAGTACCGAACAGTGTAACGGTTTATGCAGTCTCCCTAACGGTTACACGTCACGTTGCCAACAGAAATACGTTCAAAAACGTCTAGTCGCTTTAGAAGGCGGTGGTGATAGATTATATTCCGATACATTTTGGTTTCCACATTGTTGCATATGTCAAATAATGACAAATTAATTATTTTTTTTTTTTTTTTGATATTTTAGTTATTGAATATTACATATATATACATATATTTTTCTACGTGTGCGTACGTGCGTGCGTACGTGCGTGTTTACAAATCGTAATGTTAAAATAATCAATTTAAAACAAAAAAAAAAATTATTAAAAATTTTTAAATGTAATACGTAGCGTGTAAGAAAATTCAAATCGTGCATTTATTATTATTATTATTATTAATATTTTATTTCATTACGTGAATTAAATATTTATAAATTGAATAAAACGTGGCAGGAGAGAGAATAATTTACCGCGTAAATATAAATTAAATCATCGCCATTTTTTTTTTTGTTCGAATAAAACGTAATTTGAATTAATCAATGGAATGTTTTCGAAAAATAACGGTTTTTTTGTTTTGTTTTCAAACAAATTAATATAAATATATTTATATAAATATTATAAATATAAATTCGGTCACACGTTAATAATAATAATAATAATAATAAATATAGTTTTTTAAAGTCTATAAATTACACAGCCATCATTTTAAAATTTTTCTGTTTTTTTTTTTTTTTTTTTTTAAATTTAAATTACCGTTAAATTAAATTATTCGAATGTGTAAAATCATTATTATTACAATTCGATAAATGATTTGTTATCGTAACAATCGATATTAATCGATATTTTCTCGATCGATAAAATTAAAAAAAAAAAACGATTTGAATTATATTGAAATGTAATGCAATGTAATATTAATATTATGTAAATTTTATGTTTGTATTTAAATAATTCATTTAAAAGAAAAAAAAAAAAACGCGCGTTTCTATGGCTGTCGAATCGCGCGTTTTTTTATACACAACAAAAATTTTTAATTTAATTTTTTTTCGTAAACAATTTTTTTTTTTTTTTTTTTAATAAGGATCAAACATGGCGACAGAAAGTCGTGAAATTTTTTTTTTTTTAATTTAATAATTTAAATTGATTTTTTTGTCGACGGGAATAATAATAATAATAATAATTAAAATCCTTTTCAATTAATTAATTTTTTTTTTTTTGCGTTTTCGATTTCCTGTCGTTCGTATCGAAAAAAATTTGAGTAAATTAGTTTTTAAAAATTCGATTCGTTCGGTTGATTGATTTTGTTTGTTCCTTATTAAAAACAATTTTTATTAGAATTGTATGCTGTCTGTTTACTGACCTTCATTCCTGTTGGTGACGTAAACAGAAATCGAAAAAAAAAAAAAAAAAAAAAAAAAAAAATGGCTTCTTTGTTTTTCAAGAGGCCGTTATTACCTGTATTGAAAAAAATTTTTTTTTAGATTTTCAAGATTTTGCAGGCCGTGCATTTCGCCATGAAGAAAATTTACGTTATGGATGTCGTTGTGTTTTTCTTACAATACTCCATGATTTCTCCATGTTTACAATTTCCCAAAGTCTTGTAATTATTTACGACAAAAATAATCTAAAAAAAAAAAAAAATTTGTAAAACTTTAGAAAATTTATGAAGATAAGAAAATTTATTATTAACTTACGCCGAGAAAAGCGACGACCAATCCAAACAAGAACAACATTATGGGTGATAATTTATTTTTAGACAAGAGGGATGATGGTTCCAGTTTTAAAAAACAAAGAGCCGGAAGTATGTAAGCTAAGGGAACGGCAACTAAAACACCCTGAAAATCGAAAAATCCAATGGAAAATTTACTCGACGGGGAGTCACGGATTCGTAAACGAGGGGGAAAACAATTCTTACGTTAAGTTCCAGAACGATTCCAAGACAATCGGTCGAAACGGAAATCAAATAACTTATGAAAACGAGTAAAAAAGTTATGAAAAAATGTTGATTTTTCGTCAGAGTGTTAGTAACGTCAAAAAAACTATATCCTATTATTTCTCTTGCAACAAAACAATCGAGCGGATACGTTAAAAGTATGGAAATTCCAAAAAATATTCTCGCAGCACTTATAAGATCATCATCTGGACAATAATTTTCTAATAAATCTCCTGGAACGAACACACGCAAGAGTCGTCGGATATTATTTCGGTATATTACGTAATAAATATTTTTTAAAAAAAGAAATTTTTACAGGTTAATTAATTAATTAATTAATTAATTAAAAGGTAACAACCCTGTGAAACTCCAGTGAACGTCGCGTAACCAACAATTCCAAAAACGAATGCAATTAAAAATGATACCGTCATTGATATGTGAGTTACTTGATTCCATTTTTTTTGATTAACATCTTTTATACTTCCAAATATTAAAAATGTATTATGATGACAAATGAAAGCTATAAAAAAAAAAAATTTCTTTTTTTTTTTTTTAAATTTTTAAGGTTCGATGGAAAATGATTTTTAAAAAAAAAAAAAATCTCACCGAACGTCATGACTCCAACGGCTGGAATTAAATTTGTATTGATAAAATTCCATGCATCATCCGTTTTAGGCCTGGAAAAATAATTTTAAAAAAAAAATGTCGAACAAATGGAAAAAATAACTTTACGCCATTATTATTTTTACTTACACCACGGAATAAAGCATGAAAAATTCCGCCATTACTACCAATAGTATGAAACCCTCGCAAACGAGCGAGAAAAAGGAAACTTTTGTCAATTTGACGACGTCATTATACAAACACAGTGGGAGTGTGATAAAAGTCGTGGCTAGAAAAACTACAACTTCCCTTTGTGAAAAAAATGAATTACCATCTAATTTTAACATTCTTACAAATACTTTTGTCATTGTATCACCAACGACTATGTTGTAAGAAACCATTGCTGGAGAGAAAAACAAACAAAAAAAATTAACGACCGGAAATGATTCGTCTGCGTTTGTATTTATGCACATGTTACATTACCAATGAACGGATAAGCAAATTGAAGAATGCTTAAAAGTATGAATCCAGGTTTACCAAATGCAGATTCCATGATGCCTTGATAAGTGAAATTTCCAGATAAATAACCGCATTTTATCATTAATATAAGAGAATAATCAGTAACGAGTGCGACAAGGATTAACATTAACAATCCCAAACCGAATCCTGCTTCTCTCAATGCAAATGGTATCCCTATGTGATTGTGTGTGAAAGAAAAAAGGTAAAAAAAAAAAAAAATTTATCTTCTGCTATTTTCTTACGTATATAGTTTAAATAAAAAAAAGTTTGTTTTCTTTTTTTTTTTTTTTTTTTTTTTTACCAATGACGCCACTTCCGATAATGGAATTGATGTAATTAAAACTCGCTGATAAAAGTGAAGATTTATCTTTTTTTTTCGATTCAATTAATTCGCCATTCGCGTCGCCGAATAAAAGACATGAATTTGATGAACTTATGAGATCCTTTTAAACAAAAAAAATTATCAAATTACTAAAGAAAATGGAGAGGAAGATAAAATAAAAAAACGTTGGACAAATACAAAGTAAGTCGAAAAACGTTTCACTATTTCCCCCTCCCCCTCCTCACCCTCCACCACCACCATTTTGTTTTTTACCTGTTTTTCAAAACTTTTACTATTATCCAATATGTAAAATTTTTCAACTAATTTTCCTCTATCATCACCCGACATTTTATTATTATTATTATTATTATTTTATAACTACCCCTTATTAAAAACCGACGATTAAAAAAAAAAAAGAAAAAGGAAAATTTCTTGCAACGAATTTTCCTTTTTTTTCATTACATCCCCAAATCGTGAAAATTCGAACGCGTTCGTTTTGAATTCAAAACGGTTTCTAAAAAAAAAAAATTCGTCGACGATTTTCCGATACGTTGTGCGCAGCCTCCGAGATTTCAAAAAAAAAATCTAAAAAAAAAAATTCATCTCGAAGGTACGCGAAAAATGAATTTAAAAAAAAAAAAAAAAAAACAAATTTAATTTAAAATGATGCGAATCACTTTTACTTATCAAATTGTCTCAACAATTTTCTTAAATTATTTACTTTTAAAAAAAAAAAAAATTTAATTTAAAATGATGCTAATTACTTTTACTTATCAAATTGTATAATCAATTTTCTTAAATTATTTACTTTAAAAAAAAAAAATAGAAAAAAATTTTCCTTTTTTTTATTTTTTTTTTACTTAAAATTAAAAATTTAACGTTTTCCCTTTTTAAAAAATTTTCACAACCCCGTTCACGATATTATTATTATTATTATTATTATTATTATTATTATTATTATTATTATTATTATTATTATTATGACGAAAAATTTTATATTTAATATAAATTCTTTCGAAATTGTGAAAGCGTGAAAAAATTTTCCATAAATTCTTCTTTCTAGAATTTTCTCTTATTTTTTTTTATTTTTTATTTTTCCACCACCGCCATTACCCCCTCCCATACCCTCCCTTCTCTCTCCTACCACTCAAAAAGGAAAAAAAGGTAAATGGATGACGTGGAAAAAGAAATTTTTTTAAAAATTAAATCGTGTCAATAGAAGGTGGGGAGGAGAAACAAAAAAAAAAAAAAAACGATTTTTGATTTATTTATTATTCAAACAATTTTTTATTTTTTAATAATAATAATAATAATAAAATTCACGTATATATATATTTATAATATTTATATATATATATATAAATCACACGTTTTTATTTATTTATTTATCATTCGTAATGTTATGGATAAGTTCATGAGAAAGAAAGAGAGAGATAGAAAATGGTTGAAATCATCCATGACATTAATGATAAATTGATAGTAAACATATTTGTTTTTTCATATTACGTGTGTAAAACGTAATTTGTTTTAAAAAAAATTTTTTTTTTTTTATACAGAAAACGTGCGAATCATCAACCAATCAAATATAAAAACCTACAGCAATACAAAATAAAAATTAAAAAATGAAAAGAGAGAGTATTTTTACAAAAGAATGAAAAGAGGAAAAGTCATTCAATATCGAATTGTAGTATCATATGAAATCATTATCAAATACAAACAACAACAACAACAACAATAAAACTACAAACGATGATGATGATAATAAAAAAAAAAAAAAAAATTTTTTTCTCTCACACTAACTTAATCAAACGATGAAGAAGTGAAAGAAGAAAAAGAAAATGGAAAAAATAATTGATTGGTATTAAAGTAAAATGTCAAGAAGCAGTAGAAATTAATTATTTGTTTGTTTGTTTCATACAAATATTTTCAAACTGCTCGATGAAGAGAGAGAAAGAAAGAGAAAGAGAGAGAGAAAAAAAGATCACAAAAAATATACATGTGAGATTTTGTTTGTTGTTTGTTGTTTGTTTGTTTGTTTTTCTATGTATATTTTTTTGTTTTATTTACACGTTATTATTAGTTTCCTACGTATCTTCCAGAGTTAAGAGCTTCGAGTTCTTGTGGAGTAAGACGAGCTTCTTCGGCAGCGTTTTGTGCAAGAGCTTCTTGGATTTCTGGTGGGATTGGTGGAGCTTGTGGAAGATGAGCACCGTCGGCACGGAAACCGTTTTCTGGAAAACAAAGTAAGAGATGTTTTAAATTTATTCTTCTTCTTCTTCTTTCTTTCTCGAATCCAAAAAAGTTTTATTTACCGTCAGCAACGTAGTTGACGGTGATTTGGTTTCCATCGAGGTCTACGTAAGAGAAAGTTCCTTGAACGGCAAGAGATTCAGCATCGGTGCCTGGGTTTTTAACGGCTCCTTGTTCGCTGGCAGAGATTTGGTTGGCAGTTTCGTATCTTAACAAAAAAATTTTCTTTTAAATTTCGTTTTTCCAATTGGAAAAATTTGCAAATTTTCTTTCTTTTCGACTTACTGGAAGTTGTAGCTTCCGTCCAAGTTGTGGTTGGTTTCGGCTCTGAGGATAGGTACTGGTGGTTGAGTTGGTTGCAATTGTGGAGCAGCAGCTGACAAAGCAGCGAAAGCAACGACTAATAAGATCTGAAATTATTATTATTATTATTATTATTAATTTCATTTCGCTTCTTTCGTACTCTCTCCCCTCCCCTGCCCCGCCCCAAAAGAAAAAATCAAATCCAGTTTTCTATTAGATTATTGAACAATAAATTTCTCAAGAGAATTCTTTCATCAAAAAAAACAATAATAATAATAATAATAATAAAACGTTTCCGTTCGACCTTACAGGGGGGGGGGTGGGGGTTCAAACACGATGAAATTTTTTTTCTATTCTTAAACAAAACCTGATTTTTTTTTTTTCTTAATACGATTATCGATTGATAAACAATCAGGTTTTCATTGCGTAATCTTCTCCCTTAAAAAATTTTTTATTTTACGCATGTTAAACGCCGCGTTGCGTGAAAAGTGCGTAAAACGCATAAAAAAAAAAAAAATTTTTTTTAAATCGAAACACCCACCCCCCCACAAAAAAAATTATTATCATCATCGCTATTTAAAAAAAAAAAAATATTCGATCTTGATATAATAATATTAATTTATTAAATTTATTATACTTAACACGGTCCTGATTTTTCATTTAATTTTTTTTTCTCTATATTCGAACTTAAAGTTAAAAAAAACGGGAAAATTTTCTGGAAAATTTTTCTGGAAAAATAAATTTATTTCGATTTTTCCAAAAAAAAATCCGAACTGGAAATATTATTATTATTATTATTATCAAAAACACCCGAAAAAAATTTTTTTTTTGATTTTTCGTTTGTTCGTTTGTTTCGCGTTAAAAAGCACATATTTTTGTTTGTTTGTTTGTACCTACCGGAGTCATTTTGTTTATGTTATCCGTATGCGTCCAAAGGCACTTAACACTAGCAAACAATAGCACACTGAATGAAAACTAATGACGGTTTGTATTTATATAGAATACCCCTGGAACGATGAGATGATAGAGAGAGAGAGAGAGAGAGAGAGAGAAAGAGAGAGAGTAGGGAGCCTGCAGACGAACTGGAGACGATTTTAGACGTGGTTGTATCTTCTTGCATAGGCTTTACATGTTTCACTTGTACGATGTATTCGCATCATACGCACAACTTGATCACTGGGTCAAACCGTGTCAATTTTCAATCGGCCATTTCATCTTTTTTTTTTTTTTTTTAAATTATCATACCGTCATCATCATCATCATCATCATCATCATCATCATCATCGTCGTCGTCGTCGCCGTGTGTATTTTTTAATTTTTTTTTTTTACGTTTCTTAAATCGTATCGGAGGTGATCATCGACACGAGTATTTGCGGTTCTTAACAAAAAAATTTTTTTTTTTTAAATTTTAAATTTTTGCGGGGTTTTTTTTTCGAGTCGATAAATCGATATATCGAATCGATAAATAATATATTTACGAGAAAATTAAAAGTGCGATTTTTTATAAAACAAAAAAAAAAATTTTCAAATTAATAAATTAAAATAAAAAAAATAAAAAAAAAACAAATATTTTTAATTTGATTTTTTTTTTTTTTCTGAAACGATCATCATCATCATCATCATCATCATCATCATTATCATTATCATTATTATTTTTATTCACGACAATTTTCCCTCGTCGGGGATTGTAGAAATTTTTTTTAAATGTTCGACAATTCGATTTCCTTTTGAGAATTCTTAAAAATGTTTTTTTAATTTTTGAAAAAAAAAAAAAAAAAAAATTCGCGGGAGAAGTAAAACTCGTTCCATTTTTTAAATTTAAAATTTTTTTGGCGGGAAAACCAAAATTTTCTTTTTTTTTTAAACGGGTAATCGTTACGAATTTGTCGATTTACCTAAAACTTTAATTCGATTATTATGACGTGGAAATAATTTAGGTGTGTGTGTGTGTGTTTGCACGTGGTTGTGTTTGTCTGAATTCTTGCCAGCGTGTTTGTTCGTTTGTTTGTTTGTCTATTTGTTTGTATGTTTTGCATGGGTGCGAGTGGTCGTCGTGGACTTGTATGTTAAGATTAAAGGTTAATTAAAATGATGATTCGAATCTTTTTCGATAATTTTTTTTTTTTTTTTTTTTCCAATATGGCGACTTTCGATCGATCGATTCAGTTTTTTTTTCGATTCGATTCGAATAATATTTATTAATAGTTGTTAAAAACCTTCGATAAATCGTTTAAATTGAAAACAATCGTATAAATTTCCCAAAATTTTCAAAAAAAAAAAAAAAAAAAATGAAGAAAATTTTCGAAAGAGAAAAAGAAAGAAAGAAAATTAATTTGACCTTAACCCGTTATATTACAATGGGGGGAAAACGTTTTCAAAAAAACTTAAAATTTATTTAAATGAAAAAAAAACAAAAAAAAAAAAATCGTCTGCTGGACCTTGTAAAAAAAATTTATGTTTTTTTGTTTAAAAAAAAAAAAAAAGTTGCAAAATTTTGTTTTTATTTTTTTTTTTTTAAACAAATTTTTTTGATTTATTATTTTTTTTAAAAAATGATTTAATATCGTTTTTATTTAAATTAATTTATCATTGTTGCTGACACGTTTTTTTTTTTTTTTCTATTACCTTTTTTGGAAAAATTTTCGGTTGTTTTGTTTGTTTCCCTCCCATTTTTTTAAAACCCTTTCGACGGGAGTCGTCATAATAAAAAAAAAAAATTTATTTATTTTGTCACGTGATTATAAATTCATTTGCAAAATAACGAATAAAATTTTTTTTTTTTTTTTCTGGTGACACGAATATATATTCCGACAGTAAAACGTTGCCAACTTTCCGGCTAAAAAAAATTTTTTTTTTTTTTAATTTTCTCGTCACGTAAAAGATGTAGAAAAAGAAGAATGGGTGAGGTATAAAAGGTATTTCTTTTTTTCTTTTTTTTTTGTTTCTAATGTTGGCATTACGAATTTAAAAATCGTTTTTTTTTTTTTTTTTCAATTGAATTTTTTTTAAACAATTCGTGATTGTTTTTTTTTTTTTTTAATAGATTAATTCAATTGTATGTGTACGAACGGGTAATGCATTTTAAATATTTGATTGCAACGACACGTTGAATGCGTGCGAACGTTTTTACAATTACCAACCTAACAAAAAAAAAAAAATTTTTTTAGAACGTTCGTTCGAAACTCCAATAAAATATATACTCTTAACGATTATTATTATTATTCGAACGTTCGCAAAAAAAAAAAAAAAAAACGGTTTGTCGTCGTTGTTGGGAGAATTAATCTTTTGTTAATAATAATCGACATTATTATTATTATTATTATTATTATTATTATTATTATTATTATTATTATTATTATTATTATTATTATTATTATTATTATTATTATTATTATTATTATTATTATTATTATTTTCGATCTTCCGGGGGAATAAGGCCAAAATAGAAAAAAAAAATTTTTTTTTTTTTCGTGTAGTTTTTTTTTAGATTTTGTAATAACGTGTAAAAAAAAAAAAAAACAAAATGGTGGTGGTGGTGGATTACCTTGCCAATAGCAAATTTTTCGTTCAGCAAATTCGTTTCCTTTAAATTTTTTTTTTTTTTTTTTGTAAAGATGGTACAACGTACACGACGGGATAAAAGGAATGTTGCCATTTTGTCGATTGATATTTTTAATATAGGGAAAAATAAAAATTCTAAAATTTTCCAGAATTTTCATTTCCGCAAAAAATTTAAAAAAATTTTTGGATTCTACGTAGGCGCACCTAATAAATTTTTTTTTTTTTTTTTAAACCAAAACAAGTGTAATAATTTATTAAAGGATTGTTCAAGGACTAAAAAAGTACGTGGAAGAAGAATAAAAAATATGAATAAAAAAATTTACGTTTGATGATTTCCAAGACATTTTTCAAATAAAATTTTTTGATTTATTTATTTATTATTATTATTATTATCATTATCATTATCATTATTATTATTATTATTATCATTATTATTTCTAACGTTCGTTTATCCGTAAAAAAAAACCGGTTTCCATTTTTTTTTTTTTTTTTTTTTTTTTAAAAAAAAAAAAAAAAACTTTTTAATTACAAGGTTGTGAATACAAATAAATAGATAGATAGATAGATAGACTACATATAAATCATGGAATGATTTAATAATTTAAAAAAAAAAACGCACGCACGCAAGCACGCACACGAACGCACGCAATAATAATAATGATAATGATATGCGTACATAGTTTCTATCATTTTATTTTATTTATTTATTTATTTATATTAATATAATAAAATGTAATTAATTAATTTAAAAAAAAAAAAAAGGTGAAAATGAATATCAAAAAGATCTTGAACTTTATTTCTCTTGTCAGGGATAAAAAAAAAAAAAAATATTTTATCAATTAAAAGTTCATCGGTCTGATTGACTGTTACGAATAATAAAATGGACGACGGACATTCCGCCATTTTGTTTTACTTTTTCGTATGGATTAATCGTTGGAAAAATGTTAAGGTTGATTATTTATTTAATAGGGATGAAAATAACACTTCATAAAATCACGGAAAACATTTTCGTATTTATAATAAACGACGGTCGTTGTGTAGATAATAATAATAATAATAATAATTAATGAGGAGGAAAATGTCGACCGTTAAAACATTCGCAGAATGTGGGTGAAAAAGTCGAAGAAAATGTCGTCGTGTAAATGATGACAAAAACAGAAAAGTATAAAAAAAAAAAAAAAGATTAAAATTAAAAATACAAATTGATTTGTTTTTTATTTCAGGTATCATCGGAAAAAGATCCGGGAAAAAGTTCCAGGTATTCTTCGGAAAAAGGTTGAAAGAGTAGTAACACGGATGACTAATTACACGCGCGCACACACACGCGATAAAGGTAAGAAAATTTAAAAATTTTTTTAAAAAAACTTACGGGAAATTTTTTTTTTTTCGCGATAAAAGGCGTCGAAAAAAATTTGTTCTGAAACATTTAAAATTACGTATAAACGTTATTTAAAAATAATAATAATAATAATAATAATATTTATTGAGGCGTTTAATCCGTTGAATTTTTTTTTTCGCGATAAAAGGCGTCGAAAAAAAAATTTGTTTTAAAACATTTAAAATTACGTATAAACGTTATTTAAAAATAATAATAATAATAATAATTTACTAAGGCGTTTAATCCGTTAATTTTTTTTTTTTTTTTTTACGACGCGGGAAATTTATTTGAAATGTAAACAAAAAAAAAAAAAAAGGAGGGAAAAGTTGTCACGGACGTACCAACCTTTCCGACATTGAAAAACGAACAAATGAAAACGTTTTGCATAATTTTTTTTTTTTTTGAAACGAATATAAAATGCGAAACGAATAAAAAAAAAAAAAAAAAAAACGGGACACGACGACGGTTAAAACGTTCCGGAACGGGAAATTTTTTAAAATTTTTACCGCGCCGCGAAAAATCGCGATTCGAATTAAAAATTCCGTTAACGATGAAAAAAAAAAACAATAAAATTACAACTTTGATTTGTCCTCCGTCGTCTCCCCATTATTTGTTAATAATCTCTCTCTCTCTCTCTCTCTCTTTTCCTCTTTCTTCCCCCCTTTTTTTCTTACAAATTTTTAAAATGTCGTGGCGTTAACCGAAAAAAATAAAATAAAATAAATTACCGGCTTAATTTGCAAGAAAAAAGTAAAAGTTTATTGATGTAAGGTTGTCAACCTGTTTCCAAAAAAAAAAAAAAAAAAAAAAACCCACGTAACGAACATTTTTATTTATTATTACGTAATAGAAAATTTATTAACGTTTTTTTAAATTTAAATGCGCGCGTAAAGAACGTTCGAACGTTTTTAATCCCGCCATTTTTTAAAATATCCAATCGTATTGCACGTCGCGTTCATCCCCCGAT